TAAATAAATAAATAAATAAATAAATAAATAAATAAATAAATACACGAATGCATGAATACATGAATACATGAATGGATGAAAAAAATAGAAAAATGCATTAATAGAGATACAATCTCACAGCAATGACACAAACTTTTTCTGATACGGTGCTGCTGACAAATGACCATAGAGGTCTGATTATGCGATTCCACAGGACCTAGATCTAAGTGTCAACAAGTTTATATTACATTATCATATCATCACATTTCGTAAACATGTTCTGCCTAGAACGTGTGAACAAACAGGGTTGTACAATTGAACAAAGACACGTTTCGGTTAATTTTCAGCGTTTTGCCTCAATATTATTATTATTATGTAAAGTAGCCTACCGTAAACTTTACAAGTAGCTCTATCAATGATGAAGCGGTTAGTCCATTCTTTGGGAAAAGATGAAATCCTGTATTTATATTTATAAAAACTGGAAAAACAATTTCCGTTTTCCTATCTAAGAGTAAGAGTCTCAGGTTTGAAGCTTGGTTATACCTTCTTACTTCTTAACAGTTCGGTATCCACATCCGAAAACTACTGGGCTTGGAACAAGGCAAGTATTATCTACTTCAGGTATTGAATAAGGGATTGGCTAATCTCCACGCAGCCTGTCAGATGTTGAGGGCATAACAAAGATTAAAAAACATCTTCGATTGAAATTTTACCCGGATAAGAGAGATTATTTATTTTTGTAATCCTCGACGACGTGAAGCAGACAGATGGTGATGGCAAAATAATATATTGTTACGATCCCATCCTGTTTTCGTGAGTGGAATATGGGATGGGACACAAATTATTGTCTTGTTTAAGATCATACCCTATAGTGCAGTCAAAAACCATGGCACAACTCATCCTCACATTCAAATATCTCTTTATCGGGGGAATCAATGTCGCCTATACTTTGCACAGTAGTTTGTATATGTTTAACTTAAATTAATCGTATTTTTCAACAACAATTGAGGCTATATTTTAAAGGATTTTCACCATAAATGTGTAAATATTGCAGATACTTAGATCTAGATGTAAACTGGACTAAGAACTAAAAATATTCTTTGGCCGAAAATTAGCGAAACAGGAAATCGGATTAGCATGGTTGACTTCAGCACAACGCCACTTATTATGCTAGATTGATTAATTGTATGAAGGATAGGCCCTATTGATAGTGGATTTCTCAGATCGGACTTTCAATAAACTTTCGTTATTTTCTCCCACAGGCAAATAATAATAATAATAATAATAATAATAATAATAATAATAATAATAATAACAATAATAATAGAGATAATGATAATAATAATAATAACAATAAAGGAGATACAGAGAGAGAGAGTGAGATATATATATATATATATATATATATATATATATATATATAGAGAGAGAGAGAGAGAGAGAGAGAGAGAGAGAGAGAGAGAGAGAGAGAGAGAGAGAGAGAGAGAGAGAGAGAGAGAGAGAGAGAGAGAGAGAGGGGCGAAACAAGAACCCAGAGAAGAGACTGCACTACCTGCAGTATGTACAGCAAAGACAACAACTAACTAAAAAACGATGGGAAAACATGTAGCTGATATGACCACACGATAGCATAGGGCAGCATAAATTTTAATGGAATTGAGAAAAAAAGAGTAAAGATACAAAATCTGCAGGAGAAATCAGGCAGTGCTTATGACAAAATATCTGATGCCTGATCCTCAAGTGTGTTAATCTGGACTAAAAGCACAGGCTTGCAATGACAATAGTGAAGAGAAAAAGAAACTTAAAGTTAAAGTTGAAAAAGAAAAAGTCATTGACTATAATCTAGGAGCTGATAGCAAGAAGGCAGTGAAAAAAAACCCACTGAAATTTAATTTTGCTCTCATGAATTGTCATTAATGAAATACAGGAAAAAGAAAAAGAAAACTATTCGTATGTTGGCTTTTAGAGATATAATATATATAATACCAATGCAGCTAATCACTGAACAATATGAAATAGCATGGCCTGTAAGATAAAACACCTCATAAAATGTATTAATCTTACCAATGATTTGTTCATCTGATGAAAATGTCACCAAATCAACTAGCTGCACGAGATCACAATTCAAAAGAGCCAGGATACAAGGACAGGGAAATACCAAGCAAAACTTGGCTAGATGGCGTCAAAGAGGTCCTCCAAAACAATAATATATTAAAAACAGAAGCCAACCACCTAGCCCTTGTCCAAAAATTGCGCTTCCCCACGACATCTATGGCCTAATGATAGGCCTACAAAGGGAAGGGTAAAGTATAGAAAAGTATCCAACCCTAGCAAAGTCTGAGGACATGACACTTACTGCTACTTAACAATAATGGGTAGTAATTAAAGAAAATAGAACTCTTCTGAAATGCGAACAGAAGGTAATCAGTATAGTATAACTAAGAACAGAACAGAAACTGGGACAAAGGTGGCATTCTGGACGTTTTTCCAGAAAACATTTTGACAGTACAAATAGCAAGCTTCAAATATTAACAATCAATTTAAACACTCTGAACAGGCACGAAGCAGCCTGTGGGCCATTGAAGCCATAGCACATGCCGACTTCGCTCAAAATTACGTTTGCAAAATGAAAGAGGGAATACGCAGTGCTAGCTACACTTTACTTATACTTTATCTGACCTCATATACATCGAGAGGTCGAGGGGAAATGCAGTTGTCGGACGTAACGGAAATACGCTGCTTCTTGGAACTTCATATTGTGCCTTTGAAAGGTCTCTATGACTATGTCGATCCATCTTTTTATTGGTCTTCCTTTTGTCTTGAAGCCACCGAATTGCGTGTTGTAGACCTTTCAGGCTAGCTGTTGTGGCCCATTCTCACATGTCCAAATCACCTTATTTTATGTTGTCTCTTGTCGTACTTTACGCTCGATGCGACGCCCACTTGTTGTTTGATATCTCCGTAACTACATCCAGAAATAACGTTTCCACAGTACAAGTTACATGCCTTTACCATTCCCACCCATTCTTCAGTCATTTCTTTAGCTGATATCACAAATGTATGGTCACATAAGCGTTTTATTTTTGATGAGATTTGCTATTTAACCTGATAATATTCTTTGGTATTCCATCCTGTTACCCTTTTTACCTCCAGTTCCCGTTTCTCCTCATGTTTACCGCCCTTCGCCGCCCCCCCCCCCCTCCTTTTTACATGCATAGCAAAAAATTCTAGAAATTCGATTTAAAAAGTGAGTATAGGATTAGTATCACCATGTTGCTTAAAGG